CCCCCCCCCCGGGCTGATTGGCCGCCGCGGCTCCGCGTGGCAGTGTTGCTACCCGGTCCCGGAGGCCCGCGGATCACGCGTGCGCAGTGGACACCGCCCGCTCTGCCCGCGCGTGCCCGGTAGATGGGTTGTAGGGTCTCAGGGTCGGCGGGTGTGGACAGAGGGGCATAGGGCAGCGGCCGATTAGGGTCCAGAGTTGTCCATTCACAGTTTGTAGGGCAGGCTCAGGGTTAAATCATTTAGAGAAGCCAGGACGGAAGCCCTGTAATTAAATGTCTGCGAGGCAGTCTGACAGTGACATGCAATTGTCAAGGCTGATGCTCCTAAGATGAGCCTCCGGGCTGCCCGACAGTGGTTATTGTCCTGGCTGGGTAGTGACTCCATTTAATGTCTTCAGAAGCCTAAAGGCATATATCTTAAAACTATATGACCTTAAAATATGTATACACGCATCTATTCCTACCACATCTGGTCCTAGCATACCCCACATATGTTCCTGCTGCAGGAGCAGGGGAGGGCTTTGACTGTTAGTGGAAGAGGGAACCCTAAATCCCAGAAGCCTTGCCCATAATATTTACCAATCCCAAAGAATACACCAGAGGTCCAGCAGGAGAAGGCGTGAGTTAACTTAAGGAAGGGAGCGCTTCTGACAGGCAGAGAGTGGGCCATGCTGCCAGACAATAGGCTCACATTATACAATGTATGTTACAGATCAAAGACTACACACATCACCTATAAGATCCAAAGACTCCCTACCTCCGAGGCAGGGATCTGGTTTCTACATTACACTAGTGGACACCACAGGATGACAGTGGTCAGCTTATCAACTGGCAGAGTTGCCAGAGCTTGTACACTTAGTGCCTCCTATCTGGGGATGTTGACATGGAAGAGGTGCGCATGTCTCACGAGCTGATTCCATGAGGTAAAGTAATGGTCATGAGATGTTCACAAGGCCTAGTGGGACCAGCAACCTGGGTCTCAGGGAGATGGCAGAGGGATGCAGGGGAGGAGAGCTCAATGCATGGAGCTTACCCTGGCTCCACTCTAACACTGACTCTCACACCACTCTCACATCTTCACAATTTATGAGTCTTGCCAATTCCCTGGAGTAAGTGTGTGAGTCAAACACTATATCTATATTCCACAAATACAATAGAGAGCACGAGCTCCAAATAACAGCCAGGAAATCACAGCGATGATGCCAATAAAGAATTTCTTACAGAAGGTGCTAAGGGAGTCAAACCAAGGAGAAAGGCGATCTTTGGCTGTCCTCGAGAAATGAGAGATCTCTGTATCCAGAGCCTTAAGGGCAGTGGACGCATATGTTGAGTGTCAAGACCGCAGACACGGCATTCAACATTTAAAATAGTACAAGCACCACCTACAGCAGCAATAAGCATGCCTAAAGCTGTTCAATTCTGCATCACTACCTTATGCACCTGTGCAACTTCACCGTTTAACAGAGTGTTAGAGTATCTAGTATGATTAAGAGCATGAGCAGTACAATTAGCAAGACCCTCTATGGCCTTTCCAATATAAATATTACTGGCTTGTGCAGAGAAAACTGACAACAGGTAGAACCACCAGGAGGTGTGTTTAATCAGCTGTCTGTCAGAAAACATACCCCAGCTAGAAGGCCTGGAGGGAAGGGTATGTAATACTCTCCCAGGTACATAGGACCATCCCCAGGTCCCTCTACTGGTCCAAGCATATGGTAGTTAGGGCCACCCAGGGCTGCCACAGGCCCATAGGGTACCCCAACATACCAGGTGTATCCCAGCACTTAGATTAGGTGTCTGCCACCCCAGTCATCACATTCAGTAAGCCTTATGGTGTGGATACATATTTCCAATGATGTTTGTCCCACATTTTAAGGTGTCTCAATGCGAGTGCTGTTTAAGTATCCATAACAAGAAATGGCACGTTCTCTCATTTCTATTTGGACAGCCATTAACCACTGTAGCCATCCCATATTGTATATTCTACTGCAGGCCAAGTCTTATTAACTTGTTCCCAAACTAATTGAAAAACATGGTTTTGGGTCTCAGCAGGCTCATAGCTCATGGTGAGTGTCCCTAGTAGCTTTCCAGTTACACAGGAAGGCCCACTCAGAGTAGTTGGCAAGGCACATCCTCCAGAGAATTCCAGAGTTGCTGATAATGGAACTCAGAGCATACCCACCAACCAGCACAACCAGCAGTAGCACACCTTAGCCTTGACAAAGGTGCCTGCCCATTGCAGGACTGTATTCCCCACCTCTAGGCTTAAGAATAAGACAAATGTAGTGGCACAAGCAAAGGTAGGTCTCTATTTACAGGTAATAAATAAGCAACATTTCTATCTTGAGACAATAAGGTAACACTCTGGGGAGACCTCTAGGTCCCCCTAGGTCCAGGGGCACTTCAATCCACTACATGAAAAGCTAGAGGGGAGCCTAACCATCAATCAACTGGAGAAGAGGAGGGAGGTAGAAAGAATGGCAGGAAGGAGAGCTTGAAGCAGACAAGCAAGAGATTCTTTTCCCAAAGCCAGAAGAGAAAAGATAGATGATGGAGCCATTAAAACCCATGCAACTCTTTAACTCCACCCATTGGTTACTCTGCCCCTTACCATCCTCCATCTAAATGGTGTCCAAGGAGGGCTGGTATGCCACAGCTCACCACTAGGGTGCAGGAAGGCTACCCCTGGCTAGTGGCCACATGTGTACTAAGGATCACCAGGCACTGGAGGCATCCCCTCCTTCATGAGAGAAGGGATAAGAGCAGCAGCCTCTATTGGAGTGGTATCAGTGTTCAGAAGTGTCACAGGCCCCCAAAGCTATTGCAGTACATGGCATAGGGGGCTGCTAGATAGCTTACTGCATTGTTACACACAGGTTCATCACCGAGTGAGAGTCACTGTCTGAGCAGCTGAGCTCCTTGGCTTGTGGGACAGGTCATGCCTCCTTTCTGTGATGGGGAGGGCTGTCCTTGCTTTGACTGAGACTTGTCCAGTTACATGCTCAGTAGATAACAAAGCTTGATAGACAGCATTCATCTGTTGCTCAATAGAGCCATATTGGGCCTCTGCTCTCTTCTGAGTTTGTGACCAGAGTCCAATGGAGTTGAGCTTTCTCTGGCCACCACTAGAGCCCCCAGGCATACCCTTCCTGGGTGGTATTAACATCCAATTTGCAGGAGAGTGACTGAGTTTAAATGCCCATTGACTAATGCAGCGCCCACAGCACTTTTAGCTGTACTGAATGCCTGTTAGCGCTCCCCCATCCAATTCCATTGAGACCACTTTTTGGTCAATTTATATAAAGGACAGACTAGTTGAACTAAATAGGGAATAATTATCCTCCAATAACCTATAAACCCCCAAATTCTGCAGCTTCTTAGGAGTGGAAAGGCAGGCAAAAACTTAGATTTCATCCATCCTAGCCGAAAGCATCACCTTTGTCTTATCTGATCAAGCAACTCCCAAGAGTTTGACAGATAAGTCAGGTCCTTGCACTTTGCTCTGGTTTACAACCTATCCCTGACCTAGTAAATAATCCACTAGTGGAGGGGCACTTTTTTCCATATCTGAAAGAGAGTCACAGGGTCACATGATATCATTGATAGAATGAAATAAAGCACTATATTGACTTTCTCTGTTTTTCTAAATTGTGGACAATCAAGCCATGGCAGAAGGTCAGACTGTGAAGATAACCCTGAGGAAGGGTATTGAAGGTCCATTGGCATCTTTGCCAGGAAAAAACAAATTGGTCTTGACAATTTACAAGAACATGAACACTGAGGAAAACATGAGCTAAACTACATGCATTTGGGGGGCATTCTTGTACTCACATAGTGACCCCAACCATCTAAAAGACTGTCTTCCTCATACCACATCTAAGTAGGAGCCCACCTTGGTATTACCCCCAGCAATTTTCCCCTTTCCTCAGTTTCCCCTGTGGTCACTGCAATGGGGTGTTCTCTAGGATCCTGCAAACTAAGCCAATTTTAAGGGAGAAGCCTCAAATCTCAGAGGGCTTGCCCATAATGTATACAAATTCTAAAGAACACACCTGGAGGTCCAGCAGGAGAAGACATGAGTTTACTTACTAAAGAAGCTCCACTGACAGCAGGGAGTAGAATGGTCAGTGCTACCACGGAACACAGGCTCACATTATATATGTTACAGATCAAAGAGTACATACATCACCTATAAGATCCACACAGACTCACCTGTCTTCAAGGCAAGGATCTGATTTCTACATACACTGTTTGTGGAATGACAGTGATCAAGTACTTGATTGGTAGAGTCGCCAGAGCTTGTACGTTAATTTGATGCCTGTGATCTGGGGATGTTGATATGGGAGAGGGGTGCATGCCTCCAGAATGGCTCTGACACAAGCCAATTCCCTGAGGTAAGGTCATGGCCATGAGGTATTCACAAGACCCAGCTGGACCAGCAGCCAGGTTTCAGGGAGAGAGGGCCAAGAGGGGGTTGAAGGAGAGCTCAATGTAAGTTGATACCCTCCATTGGCTACTTGAGAGGATATGGTTGTACTGACCATCTGGATTATGAGCAGATATTCACATCTAAAGACAGCAGCCTATTGAATGTTTGAACCCAGCCACTGCTCCAGAATGAATCTGAACTTCAAGAACAAAACCAGAGTTTGCCCACAAACCTCCTGTGGACCTAATTATCTTTTATATTTTAAGGCTCGAGCTTAAATTTATAAATTCCTTCAAGGAGGTCAGATATGTCC